CTATATTTGTTGTTGTTCAGCTGTTTCAGTCATTTCTGACTCTTCATGACCCTGTGAACCCATGTGTTTTTCTTGGCAAATATACTGCAGTAGTTTATCATTTCCTTCTGTATTTTTATATGATTAAAATTATATATTTTACATTTTTAATGCTCTCTATACCTTCTTTGGTCCTAAATTCTTTTCATATCCATAAATCTGATAGATAAAATATTCCATGCTCTCTTAATTTGCTTATGGTATCACTCTGTAAGTGTAAATCATATACCAGTTTTTACCTTATTTTGGTATATGGTGTGAGATGTTAGTCTATATCTAGTTAATTCAGAAATTAATTGGCATGTCCAAGGTCACACAACTGGGAAGTTTCTGAGTCTGAATTTGAACTCAGATCTTCCTGACTCCAAGCCCAGCATTCTGTCCACTGTGCTACCTAGCTGCCAGTGCTCTATATAGTAGGAGATTAACAAATGTGGGTCGAATTTCTTTGAACTTTGTCTAATCTGAAACTGATTCTCCTTTATGAAAGTATTGAGATCACCTTCAAGTAGCTACAGAATCTCTTTACAGAAGAAGACCCTGGACAGAGCCTTGGTGGATACCCGGAGTTAACAGACCTATGGAGCTTTATAAATCATAAGGGGTTATGTAAAATTTTACACTTATGTTGAAATTTAATGAAATGAATGAATGAATGAGTGAATGAATGAATGAATGAATGATTTAGAGGCTAATCAATCACAGTAGTGTGGAATAGTAGAAACTGCAGAACCTAGATGCATAATCCCAACTCTCAATATGACCTTGAGTAATCTACTTCCCCTTCTTAGGTCTTGGTCTCCCCATCTGTAAAATGAGAGGGTTTAATTACATTTACTTTGAGGGTCCCTGCAACTCTGAATCTGGTGATTTTATAACTTGCTTAAAAGAAGTATTTTTATGTCCAGAAAATAAAATAATTACCACTGTAAATATCAGAGAGCCAAGTACAGGAGGTAATATCCCAACAGATGATTAATTTATCCTCGATGACTTTAAATATAGCCAATAACTTAACTGTGGTTTTTTTTTTATCATTTGATTTCATAGGAGCTCCCTGAACAATGTAGCTCTATGTCTTTAAACTGGTCAAGTTTCCAAGATGAGGCAAAGTACAGGAGTGGCAATCTTACATTTAGGCGTGACTGGAGTTGGGTATTTAGGAACTCCGTCTTTGGTTGTATTACTTGAAAAATGGAGATCTTACTACAGAAAGCCAGGGACCAAGCTGCTTATTTGGAGGAGTTATACTTTTCATAAATTTGGATCTGGAAAACACCTTAGAGGTCATTTCACCCAATACTATCTTGTTTGACCTAACAAGATACCATTTTGTTCAGCCAGTTACCTCTTAATGAGTTGGAATGGATATTAAGTGATCTTTTGTAGCACTAATGATCTTGTTCTGTTGTTTTCAGTCCTGTCTGACTCTTCATGACCGCACTTGGGGTTTTCTTGGCAAGGATACTAGGATGGTTTGCCATTTCCTTCTCCAGCTCATTTTATAGATTAGGACCTGAGGCAAACAGGGTTAAGTAACTTGCCCAGGGTCACACAGCTAATAAGTATCTGAGGCCAGATTTGAACTCAGGAAGATAACTCTTCCTAACTCCAGGCTCAGCACTCTATTCACTGTACCACCCAGTTGCCCCTCTATCCTTAATTGGTAGGGCGAGTTATCAAAGCTTATCTTTGTCATCTCTGTTCCCACCTCACTAGCCTTTCTGCTTCCTTCCTTCCTTCCCCTCAAGTCTTGAATGATAGGATCTTAAAAATTGAAAAGACTTCAGAGCTACTCCAGCCCAACTTTCTTCCAACTCGTCTATTCCATCTATTATATCCTCGACAAGTGGTTATCTGAAACCAGTTCAGAATCAGCACCCCCTCCTTGAAATGTGCATTTTCTTATCCCACTCCACTTTCTTTTTTTAAAATTTATTTTTAGCTTTCAACAATAATTTCTGTAAGCGTTTGAGTTTCAAATTTTCTCCCCCTCCCTCCCCAAGATGGTATGCAATCTGATATTGGCTCTACATATACATACCTATTAAACATATTTTCACATTAGTGATGTTGTAAGGAAGAATTAGAATCAATAGGAGGAATCACCAGAAAGAGAAAACAAAACACAACAGAAGAAAAAAAATAGCAAATACTATGTTTCTATCTGCATTCAAACTCCATAGTTCTTTCTCTGGATGTGGATAGCATTTTTCATCATGAGACTTTTCAAGATGTATTAGATCCTTGCTCTGCTGATAAGGGCTAAATCTATCAAAGTTAGTCATTACACAACATGATTGTTACTGTGTACAACATTCTCCTGGTTCTGTTCACTTCACTCAGCATCAATCCATACAGGTCTTTCCAGGTTTTTCTGAAGTCTGCTTGCTCTTTGTTTCTTATAGCACAATAATATTCCATTATTTTCATATACCACAATTTATTCAGCCATTCCCAAATTGATGGGCATCCCCTCAATTTCCAATTCTTTGCCACCACAGAAACAGCTGCTCTAAATATTTTTGTACATTTTGTTTCCCATTTTTATGATCTATTTGAGACACAACTATAGAAGTGCTATTGGTGGGTCAAAGGGTATGCAATGTTTTATAGCCCTTTGGGCATAGCTCCAAATTTTTCTCCAAAATGGTTGGATCTATTCACAACTCGACCAACATTGCACTAATGTTCCAATTTTCCCACATCTTCTCCAACATTTATCATTTTCCTGTTTTGTCATGTTAGCCAATCTGATAGGTGTGATGTGGAACATCAGAGTTGTTCTGATTTGCACTCTCTAATCAACAGTGATTTAGAGCATTTTATAATATGACTAGAGATAGCTTTTTTTAAAAAAAAATTCAGATTAATTTCTTCATCTGAAAACTGCCTGCCCATTCCATGTTCAAAACAAGCTCTAAAACCCTCCATTCACATTAAGGTATAAATGACTGACAATAATTTTTTAGCATCACCCAGCATGATTTTCATTTTGTCTGGGACTATGGGATTCTGAGGAAATGGGTTTAAATCCTGTCTATACCACTTGGTACCTATGTGACCTTGGGCCAGGTGCTTTACTTTTCAGCCTCAGTTGCTTCATTTGTAAAATGAGAAGGTGGGATTATATGACATATATGGTCCCTTCTACCTCTTAGTCAAAGACCCTAAAACCAGCATGGCGCTTTGGATAAAGATCTGGCCTCTAAAGCAGGAATACCTATTCCTGTCCAGAAGATGCATTGATTTTTTTTAATCCCAAGTAAGTTATTTAAATTATAAGTTATGTAAAAAAATGCTAAGATTATAAATAGCAGGAAAAAAGGCTTTGACCAGCACTGGGAGAGGTAGTTTCCTTACCTGGGAATTCCTAAGAACAACAAAATCTCTGGTCTATTTCCTATCTCTATGCTCTTTAAAGCATTGAACCCCAAATGTGGAATTTCAGGGATCAACTACTATATAAAGAAATTGTGGGACAAAGGATATTGTAAAATGTAAGACCAGTTTATCCTGAAAGCCCCTTAGAGCAAGTTTCCCCCTTAAAGAACAATCGTTCCAACGCAATCTGGGGCTTATCTTTTCTTTGATCTTATAGCATGGTACATGCCCAAATACCCAGGTAACATCCAACATTGGAACATACCCTACTATTTGAAAGACATATTGGTGCAGTAGATAGAGTGTTGCACTTGAAGTCAGAAATACCTAGTTTACAATGCTATACCTGACACTTATTACCCATGTGACCATGGACAAGTGTCTTAAACTCTGAGTCTAAGTGTCTTCTACATGTTGAAAAATAAACATGAGGGAACACCTTCCTGAAAGAGTTGTTGCAAGGCCCAAAAGAGACAATGTATAACAAACATCATATAAATTTTAGTTATAATTATGATCACAAGTATGGATTCAGGCAATTGAGGGTGTTGATTACTCCCCTTGAAGGAATGAGTGATCTGGAGGTACAGTACTACTTAACTGATACTGCTTAGAATAAAATTATCTCTAAGATTCTTTCCAGCTATGATCCGGTGATATTTTACCAGGATGGGGAAGATGATGCTGTGAGGAAAGATCAAAGAAACACAGGAGGCATTCAGTCTAGATGAGGGACGACAGTGGGGGAATGATGGCAGTTCCTAATATTGTGTGAGACTTATAGGGTAGAGAAGGTAGCACATTAGAAACCATCTAGTTCTCACTTTTCATTTTACATATTAAGAAAATGATGTCCAAGGAAATCAAGTGGGTCCAAGATGACACAGGTAGTAATTAGCCAAGATGGGTTTCCAATCCAGATCTTCTGATAGAAGAGTTTTGTTTCTTTCCGCTATGAAAGGGCTGTCATATGGAAGGGGGTTTAGATATGTTCTGCCTATTCTCTTAGGGCAAAACTAGGAACAATGAATAGAAATTACAGAGAAACTCACTGTAAAGTTTCTGAATGAATAATTAAATGCATCATCTACAAGTGGTATGGGTTGTCTCAGGGCCTCAAAAAATGATGGTTCCCCTATCCCCACAAATCTGGATGACAACTTGTTAGACAGGTTGTGAATCATATTCTTTTTTCTAGTTTCGCTTACACCTGATGGCCTCTAAGATAATTTCTAAATCTGATGGTGGGCTTTCATGTTCTTTGGGTCTGACCATCACCCAACATTCACTATTTCCATCCCTCTTTTTATTTCATTTTGGATAACTATAGTTTGAAAAAAGTGTTTAAAAGTCTAACTTACAGTAAGCAATGATCAATGACTCTTTTTAAAGGAAGAGGACATGGAGCAATTAAATTTAGAAATGATTCTATTCAGCCAGTGCTTGCCTCTGCAGCCATGCTAGTGTGCAGAAGGTCCCTTTCCTGGGAAGGTATTAAATTCAATAAAACCCCATGATATGGGTGGCTGCTGGCATCCTTAATAAGCCTGTCTCACCCTCTTCCTCTCTGTCTGCAGACTCCTGAAGAATTAGAAGATGATTCAGACTTTGAGCAAGAAGACTATGACGTTCGTAGCCGGACCAGTGTGCAGACTGAGGACGACCAGCTCATTGCTGGACAGAGTGCACGGGTAAGTAAAAAGCCAAGACCTTGACCCACTCTTGAAGAGATTTTATGAAAAGTGCTGCATTCTCAATGGCAAGCTGTCCTGATCTCTCAGAGATTTCTGTTGTTGGAAGATCAGAGGCTGGGTACAGATGATACCACAGTGTTTGGGTTTCTTTCAATCATACATTTTTTCCCAGTTGGGATAAGGACCACTCTCAAACACAGGGAATTAATAAAAGTAAAATAGAATTATCAAGCAATACATGTTCTTATACTCCTTAAATTTTAATGGGATGAACCATCTCAATCTCTAGTTATGCTAAGTAACACAGAAGCAGGAGCAGAATTACCATTGTGTCCCACCTATTGCCATCATCCTTTGGTATATCCATTGTACCTGTATTCCATATAAGAGCTACTTGATTGAATATAATGTAACCCAAATGTAATGGAGTTGTAGCTGTGCTAAGGTTCTCTGATGATACTTGTATTAAAAGGGATAATGTTTAAATGATGAATGCCTGTTTGGTTTACTCTTACAGGAGGACTGTGTCTACAATGGGCAGGCTTGGTTGATTGTTAACTGATTAGTTATAGTGATGGATGGGAGACTGGAAGGTTGGAGACTATTGGAAAGCAGGTGAAGGAGACAGTGGCTGTAACGGCACCAGCTTTAGAGTCAGAGGAGATTTCAATTTATGTCTCTGATGCTTACTATCTGGGTCATCTTGGGCAAGACACAACATCTCGGGACCTTAGTTTCATCATGTGAAGTGAAGGGTTATGCTAGATGACCTCTGAGGTCCATTCCAGCTTGACATTTATGCTCCTATAAACTCATGTTCTTGAAAGTGTATACTGAAGACAGGATGGATTGACATTTAGAGAGTTGGGATTACTCAGAGAAGCTGAGAAAAGAACTATTGAGCTCAGAAAAGACAGACAATTTTGGAGCAGAGTCAAGAGATGGTGCGAAGTTGAGGTTTGATGATTGGGGGGGTATTTAAAATACTTGAAATTGGGGTGCATCTGGGCTCAAAATTTAAAAGACTTGCTTCATTGCCCATTTTTATTTTTGTTACATTTTTATTTAAAGTGTTTAGTTCCAAATTATACCTCTCCCTCCCTTCCCTCCCCCCTCCCTGAGACAGTAAGCAATCAGATATATGTTATACATGTGAAATTATGTAAAACATTTCCATATTAGTCATTTTGTGTAAGAAGCCTCAGATAAGAGTAAAAGAAAGGAAGTGAAAAATAGTGTTCTTCAGTCTGTATTCAAACAATGTTGATTCTTATTCTGGAGGCAGATAGTATGCTTCATCATTAATCCTTTGGGATTGTCTTGGATCATTGTATTGCTTAGAATAGCCAAGTATTTCACAGTTCTTCATCGAACAATATTATACAAAAAACTTTTTTGTTATGTAATCAAAATTATACAGTTTACGTTTTAATACTTTCTATACATTCTTTGCTTCTAAATTCTTCCCATATCCATAAATCTAAAAGATAAACTACTCCATGCTCTCTTAATTTGCTTATGGTATCACCTGTTAAGTGTAAATCTTGTTCCCATTTTGACTTTATTTTGGCATAGGTTTGAGATGTTGGTCTGTACCTAGTTTCTGCCATATTTTTTCTAGTTTTCTAATCAGTTTTTTTTAAGAAATTTTGAGTTTTTGTTTAAAAAACTTGAATCTTTGAGCATATCATATACTAAATTATTATGGTCATTTATCATAATGTAATTTGTAGCTAACATATTCCACTGATCCACTAGTCAATTTCTTACCCAGTACCAATCTCCTTACTTTATCTATGCCTTTTTAATGGATGTCTCTTATACTGTCCTTTCTCAACTCTACCTCCTTGTAGGGGATGCCCTTCCTCCTCAGCCCTACTTCCTGAGCCGGGTTACCCTGACTTACTTCAAGTCTCCCTTTATAAAAGGCCTGAATTCATTTAGGGAAGGACCTGGTTTTCCCTTTTATTGTGCCCTAACACTGAATTGAATCTTAATAAATGGTTGTTGAGTTAACTTGACTCCAGTCTGCTTCAATATATGAGTCATACACTGTCAATAGCCAACTCTAACCTATTCCTTTCCTAAAGGACCTCCAATTACTACCATCTAGCATTTCCATACTTGATGAAAACTACATGTCCTTATCATCACTTCCCATCTGTTCATTCCTATTTGGATCATTTCCACTTCTTCTCAAGCCCAGCCAACTGTTCTTCACTCTCATAGCCTATGTCCCTGTGCCCATTGGAACCCTTCCTGTACTCTGAACAAGCTCTTTTACATCCCTAAACTGTTCTACCTACTCTATTTCTGTCTCATCTGTTGATCCTAGACCTCTAAAGCCTTCTCATTAGTGGCCTTTTTTTCCTTTCATTCTTCCTAATTTACTGAATAAGGATAAGTGATTTATTTATGCCCAGTAACTTTTCTCCCTTCCCTTTTAAATCTAGGCAGTATCTTCATTCTGTGATATCTCTATCCTTCTACAGACCTCTGGGTCATTCTTCATCCTTATCCATTTTGAGGCTACATGGTACCTTGATTGGAGTCAGAGCATTTAGGTTCAAATACTGCTTCTGCTGCTTAATATCCATGCGACCATAGTAAAAATCACTTAATCTGTCAGGATCTCAGTCTCCACATTTGTAAAAAAAGAAAGTTGCATTAGATGGCATCTAAGGTGCCTTCCAACTCTTAAGCTATGCTTCTATTATTCTATGACTTGTTCCCTGGTCCATAGTCTTCCTGTTCAAATAAATTGAAATGACTTTCAGATCAAATGAAATAATATATGCAAAGAATTTTGCAAACTTCATAGCACTATCTAAGTGCTAGTTATTGTTATTATTATTGTTTTTATTATCATTGACAATAACAACAACAATTTCTCCCTCCTCATTATATTGGCTGGCCCTAGACACTGGACCATGCTTTACCTTCAGATCCCATCCAGAAACCTTATCATTCTTATCATCTGCCTGCTGGCATACACACCCTGAATTCAAATTTTAGAGGGCACATAACCTAATGACAAGTGAAACCACAAACAGCCTTCAGAAATAGCCTCTTAGCTAGATATGATCACAGAATAAGAGCTTGGAAATATTAGAGAGGCCATCTATCCCATATCCTTAATTTTACATATAGGGGAACTGATCCCCAAAGAATTTAAGAGATTTACCCAAGGTCACACACATAGTAATGTTAGCTCACATTTTCATAGCATTTTAAAGGCTGCAAAGCATTTTGCCCATATTATCTCAGTCCTCACTACAATTTGATAAAATTGTCATTATTATTTATATCATCTGAATTTACAGATTAGGAAACTGGGGCTCAGTGAGGTGAAGGGAATTATCCAGGGTCACACAAAAGCAGGATTTGAATACAGGTCCTCTAACTCCAAGGTCAAGGAGGTCTGTTTCCAGTATACTTTGCTGTCTCTCCATGACAGAAAGTTAAAAACTAGAAAGTTGATTAAAATGAGGGCTTTCTTGGGGCTACAGCTGAATAACAGGGAAACAACCAATCTACTGAGTCAGTCTAGTGGAAACCTTCATTTAAACCAATTATTTGCTGTCTTAACAAAGGGGCAATTTGGTTAATTCATTCAGAATACCAAATCAATTCACAAAAGGGAAAAAAAAGGAGGAGGGGGTTGCTGAAAGGGCTGTACAAGATCACATGACACTGAACAAACTGATGGTTGGTGTTTCCTTTGAACTGCTGTTTGGATGCACTGACCAGTCAATTCTGGGTAGACCCAGACTTAGTTTCACAGCTTTGATTGTTCAAGGAAAAGCCAGGAGTTTTTTTCCAAACATTTTGTGACTGTCATTAGGACATTAGCATCACATAGAAGAAATAGTACTCTATTAGGAGTCGAGAAATTGGAATCTTAGCTCTCTTACTACTTGTATAATATTAGGCACCCCAATTAACCTCCCTAAACTTTAATTATTGCATCTATAAAATGGAAGTGAAGTGGGTTGGACTGAATTATATCTTGTAGTTCAAAATTCTATGATGTTGCCAAAAGCTTTGCTTAATTCCACTATAAAAACAAATAAATAATGCCCCTGATTGTATGAGGTCCATATAACCCACATCACACAGTAATTCAATTCAGTCTAACTCAATGAGTCCAATGCAATGCAATGCAATTGCAACAAGAATTAATAAAATGTTAACCATATGCCATGCACCATGCCTGACAAAGAGGATGTGACAAAAAATAAAAAAATAAAACAATGCAGAGTCAAAAAACAAAAGCAAAATTCAGTCTTTGCCTTAAGGAGTTTATATTGCATTATCTATGGCCAAGGTTGGCAATCCAATCGAGATACTGGTAGTGTTCTGTAGTCATTCATGATTTTCTATCACTTGAATGGTTTTTAGCTGAATATAATGCCAGCAAAAGGGATAGAGGGAGCGGAATTCCAAATTTGCTGAGTTGCTTTGAATAGCTTTGAAGTCCTTCATGTGGTCTGTGTAATTAACCTGCAACAGAAGGGATTTGTTATTGAGTCAGCCAAATTTTAGCCATGCAATTATGTGGCATCATACCAGAGATGGGGGATTGGTACTGTTAAGTTGGAAATAAGACGATGCCTTTAATCGCTTAGAGGGACGCATGAGCTCAGAGATGGGCTGTTTGATCAGGGAGTTAGATTGACTTGGACACAATTGTGAGGTTGGTACAATGTGCCTACGGCATTGACTTTTTTATCGACCTTCTCTGAACTCTTTTTGCCTTATTACCAAAGCATCGTTTCTGTTTCCCATTTCTACCTGACCCCCCTCTTAGATGCTAATTGACAGTGTTAATACACAGTCCTTCCCATGTTAAAAAAAAAAAAAACAGTACATTTAAATGGGAAACTTTATTTTTTTTAAAATTTTTATTTTTAATTTTTTTCCATACGCTTTTGCGTTGAAAATTTTTCTCCCTTTTCCTCCCCCCTACCCTCCCCAAGACGGCGTACAATCTGACA